TTTCCGAGGAACTTCAGCGCTACAAGTCCTTTCTTGATTAAACCAGTTTATTCTTTTTCGATATCAACTTTTAGTACACAGTAATTCCCACTGTCAGTACGTTTCTCGTCATTTTAAACTTAACAACTTTTATAATACACGCTATAACTCACAGCGATTTACAACCTCGATAATTTCGCTCTCTTCGAGTACGAAACATACACTTTATATTACCCGAAAAACCGTAACTACTGTTCGCTTAACTATCATACAATCATCACCGTCCGCTGGCTTTTCTCGCGAAGGGGGCGTCTAGAATACACTTGGGCCTCCCCGATCATTCATGTTCATTCAAGAAATTTCACGCATGCTACCAGCGCCAAACGCGCCAGCAGCGTCACGTGACTTCCGCTGTCGTAACAATAATTTTAATACTCGTCTCTAAAAATATACATTACGTACACTAGGAAAAGGAGATTGGCGTTATCCGAAATAAAAAAAAGTACTCATTATGATAAAGGTAACAAATTAATTGGTAACATTTGGTATTCGTTTTTTACCAGAGAAATACCAACCCAATGATTTACATTGTCATGTTAAATTCCTTTCATGAAATGATTGTCCTTTTCGCACTCTAGGCTAACCACAACTAAGCAGTCAAATTCAGGATCCAGAAGTCTAAATCTAACTGCGATTTATATTGAATTAATCGAAAGCTAGTGCAAAGTTTCCTAATCTTAAAAACTATACTGAATTACTCAGTTGATTTTTTACGAATATTATTCTATTGTATATCTGCTTTCCATTTAGGGCTCATGAGATTTATTCTTTACGAATACATTGCACCCTTGTAGATATTAGGCCTAAACTATAGTTATTACCGCTAGGTGGTGTATATTCAGTACAATTAGTCAGTGGGATATTTGGGCTTGTTAGATTTATTCTTTACGCATATATTAAACATTTGTAGTCATTAAGCCTATACTCTAGTTACAAACTTGTAATAATATGTTTTTAGCTGAAATCTAAAACACTATTTAAAAAATATATTATTTCTGTCAAGAGGTAAATCTACGACTATTAAATGCTCTGTAGTTACATTTTACACAGTATATCAGTCTTTTATTTTAAAAACAGGATGGAAACAAGCTTCTTTTCACGCATTTGTTTTGCTAAAAATATACCTGCAAATATAGCGACAGTTTTTTTGGTAAGGTTTTAAAATTACTTGATTTATTATTTAATTTAAAGACATATTCTTAGCACGAGAATTTCAACTATTTTTTAATTAAATATTTTCAACCATTATACTTTCTTAAATTTTAATATAAAACAACACCAAAAAACATTGTAAAAGCATTCACTAACTGAATCACAAACATTTGTGAATGGTATTGGTATTCAAAAAGGTTTACCTTATATTAAACTACACACGCACGCACGCATTGTAAATAAAGCCATAATTCTGCAAACTGAAAGTTTGGATTCTATGTTCGCTTAATAACATAACAATTGATGGATTATCAATATATATATACAAAAGGAACCACGAGAACATAATATTACACGAGCATCTGACATTATTTTCCACAAACACGTTTTTTCAAGTGTATGATTAGTGGAATATGTTGCTATAGTAATCAACGACATCTTTTTAGCCTTGCTTGTGACATGGAGTTAAAGTGAAAATGATGATACACAAGAGCATGAAGCACCAGTCAAATTTTCAGAGCTGTTACTTCTTACTGCAAATCTACAAAACAAGTTATTTGCACTTTGTCCACCATGGGAAATCTAACCTCGGGTTTTATCGTGTGAGTCCCTAAGCGTACCGCTGACCCACCCGGAGACTTTAAAAAGAGATAAATGCAAATTATCGGCTTCTAACTTTGAATAAATCTAGTTTGTAAATAAGAACGGCCTTATTCTGAAGGAAGACAGCTTTGAAGGTTATCCGAGCTTATCTGTAAGAAAATTAGACAACTAAATTGTGAAATAAAAATTTATTTTAAGTTGAACTTTCCGAAATAATCTTTCATTTTAAGTGTCCGAAAACTACATAGAAGTAACACATATAATTGAATAAAACCATTCCACTGAAAATAGTTATGATTTTCATTCAACAAAATAGAAACATTTGTGAACAGTTAGAAGTATTCTATACAAAATTCTATGCTTTCTTAATTTTCTAAATTTAAACTACTCAACTTGTCCAAATTAAGAAGTGTGTAGCAGATTTTTATCCTCTGAAGCATGTGTTTTTCGTATTTTTAAAGTACTTCCTTCACCTAAGGTAAATCAGAATACATGTAAGGTTCACTTGCTTAAAATAAAACAGTTCATTATCATTTAATGGTAAGATACTCTGTTCAGAAGTCAGAAATACGTATTAAAAGTGAGTACTTCCGGGATGACTCATGCCAGGTTTCGTTAATGTGCCCGCCTCTATTATTTAAAGAAGTCAACGGCAGCAAATCAATGTAATTAATATAAGAGACGTCGTCTATCGCAGATTAATCTCCTCTTGCCCTGAAGCCGCAAGTAAGAACAAATAGCTCAAACTAATGAAGGGCTCTTTCAAGCCTATATTTTCTCCTTTTTTCCATCTGTCTACATAACAAATTAAATGAAATAAAAACAATTCACAGATACTTGACTGATTAATAAAAAAAATAACAGAGAACAGATGGAAATAACTGATAAGCGATAGTTTCAAGAATGATTTTTTAGAAAGCTTAAACCTACTTTATTTAAATCCTAGACGTTCTAAATGACACGTAATTTTATTTTCCTTAAATAATATGATTGAAATAGTAATAAAGTGATAGTGATAGTAATAAAGAAGCATTTTTAAATTTTGGAGTTTCGAATAAGACTAAATTGTTCAAAGGAAATATGAAAGAATAAAATAATTCAAATATTTGTGAATGATAACAATAAATGTGATGTTGATTTGAAATTGAAAACAAATATTACATCAAACAAGATCAACAAGAATGTGTGAAAATATATCTTTCTATCTATATTATGTTGGTTTGATATGAAATAAATATAAATGATGTAACTGAAATACTATTTTCAATTACTAAAAAAATACATACAAACGTGCAATTGAAAACCTGATCATTTTGACCCAATATCATGTCTTACCCACATGATTCCACAGCTATAAAAGAAATGCTATTATACAGGGGTGATAGTGGTGTATGAAGATAAATCCATTAGCACCATATCTACATCAAATAAAACAACACACTGGGTCTACATCAAACATTATAAAACCATTACATAACAACACACCAAGTGTACATTAAACATCATTAAACCAATGTAAAACAATACAGCAAGTGTACATTAAATATCATAAAACCAATGTAAAACAACACACTAGGTCTACATCACACATTATAAAACCAATGTAAAACAACACATCAGGTCTACATCAAACATCATAAAACCAATGTAAAACAACACACCAGGTCTACATCAAACATTATAAAACCAATGTAAAACAACACATTAGGTCAACATCAAACATCATAAAACCAATGTAAAACAACACACCAGGTCTACATCAAACATTATAAAACCAATGTAAAACAACACATCAGGTCTACATCAAACATCATAAAACCGATGTAAAACAACACATCAGGTCTACATAAAACATCATAAAACCAATATAAAACAACACACTAGGTCTACATCACACATCATAAAACCAATGTACAACAACACACCAGGTCAACATCAAACATTATAAAACCGATGTAAAACAACACATCAGGTCTACATCAAACATCATAAAACTAATGTAAAACAACACACCAGGTGTACATGAAATATCATAAAATTGCGATCTGGTGACGATGGAGAAGGTTTAATTGTATTTTGATTTAAAATTGGTCCAAAATGTATTGATTTTAATTTTAAAGTGTAATATGGCAGTTTAAAAAGGTTTTAATTATAGGAACTGAGATATACAATGTAACATTAGAATATATATATATATATTTATAAATAATACTGTTACACTGTATATATATATATATATTTATGTATATTTACACATACATATAGATTTTCAACAATAACCTGAAAACATGACAACTTTAGACCACTATATTTATTTAGTTTTATACTCTTTGAGAAAGCCAAGCAATTGTTGAACACCTAACAATCATTGACTTTACATAACTTTGCTAGGGACATAGCTTCTACTATCTTCAAAAATATAGTTTGAAGTTGAAGACATATTTAGTTTGGAGTGAATGTAAAAAAGAAAAGAAAAAGACATAATCGTACAAATGCACCACGTTTCTCAGAACTGTATCTTAGGGTGTTACACGTTTCCTCACGTGTCATTTTTAACACCTTAGCTACAGACTTACTTTTAAGATATAAGCTGAAACGAAGACGATAATAGGTAATTAATACGACTTCGAAATTAAAGGTAAACACATTTTCAACAAAGATTTCAATACCTGCTTCTTCAGAATGCAAACCAATTACATGAAAGTTAAACTAGATAAAGAAAAGTCATGCACGAAGTATTTTTTCTTTTGTTAATCACTCACAAGTGTCCTATAAAAACATTGTTCTATTTCTAAAGTGAATAAAGTTGCATATGAATCAAACAATACCGATAGCTAGGATAGAGCTTATGTATACCATATAGAAGAATTGTTTATATTTTATGTAATACAGTTAAGTTGTGTCGAGTGGGATGCTTATTTAAATAAAAACTCTTAAGTTAATCAGTATTGAATGTTATAGAAATTAATGTGAACTTAGTTTTAAGAAATTTAAATAATGAAATAAGTAGAAATCCAAATTACTTTCTCCAGTAGTAGTTACTAAGTGTTAGAGACGTGATAAGGGGTCTTAGGCATTTTGTTAATTAATATTTAACATTCCTTCGAAGCAAATTCTTCCATTTTTCGACCCGCTAGAGAGAGGCGGAATGTATCCTTTTAACTAATGTAGAAAACAAACATAAGAACAGAGAGAAGTTAACATACCCCAGCCGTCTGAGTTGAGCAGGCCAACAGCTAGATAGATACGTAACTAACACCGGCACAAAACTCTCACTCAGTGAATGATCGATCAAGAGCAAGGATTCCCCAATGTAAGTGACGTAACCTCAAGGTGACGTCATGTCTTCCCAGAAGGCTCCGCAATAGATCTATTACACTCATTTTTCATGCTTGATTCACATTAACTAAGCTATTCATGTAACACACTATGTTTCATTGCTTTATATTAAATGCATTTTTAACAACATTTTAAGATGCCCAATAAGAGTGAAGTTTGAAAGACCATAATCAACTGTTGTAAGCTTTTTATTAATATAGACGTTTGTATTATTTCTAGCTAAAAAAATTACTAACGACACGTGACGAGCACGTAGCTTGATAACTGGAATTTTCTTGAGAGTTTAGGAATAGATTTAAAAGATAAAAAACGCATGTTAGGCGATACTAAGTTAGATAGTTGATTGATTACTGAGTCAGCCATTTAGTTACTGAGTGCTATAAATATTAAGATTGTGTTTTCAACGAAGTAATAGAGATATTGAAAAGTAACGTACGTAAGAGAAAAGTGTCAGAATATTAGAATTTTTATTCAAAAAATAATTGATTTGTGAAGTTGGGCCTATCGTCAGTTACATAAAATAATTATTAGTACTAGTAGAAATAAAATGATTTCGTTATCATTAAGTGGTCTGGACTTCGTACTTATTTTACATAATAGTTATAAAATATGCTCAATAAAAGAAACCGTTTCAACAAAACATTTATTAGTCATGACGACGTTTTAAAGGTTTCCATTTTGTAAAGGTATAAAGAAAAACATTAGAAATAATATATATGACTAGTGAAGCTATTACTATTTATGTATTTTTACTAGCTCATCATTTATGCTACATTACTTAGAGCTTTTATACGAATGAAATTAATATGATATTTATATCTTAAACCACATGTACTAAAAACACATTATCTTCATATATTTATCCACGATATCTAATGCAACGTTATGTCCTTTTTTTGCAACTAAATGGTAAATGTTACAGTATTATTTATGATCATGTTCACAGCTAATATTTCTTATACCGTGTCATAGACTATTGTACGTGTATATTTAACAATAGACTATTGAACGTGTATGTTTAACAATAGACTATTGTATGTGTATATTTAACAATAGAATATTGTATGTGTATATTTAACAATAGACTATTGAACGTGTATATTTAACAATAGACTATTGAACGTATATATTTAACAATAGACTATTGAACGTGTATATTCAACAATAGACTATTGCATGTGTATATTTAACAATAGACTATTGAACGTGTATATTTAACAATAGAATATTGTATGTGTATATTTAACAAATGAATTACTATTGCATTGTCATTTAACGAATAGATACTGAAACAGTTTTTCAAGACTTCATATTTTATACGTGTTTCTAAGGGTAATTAATTTTCAAACATAGACTGAACGGCCAATGTCTGATACAGAAATATAACCCACAATATATAAACCCACAATATTGACTTACTCCACACAATTAATAACAATCTTTGACTTAGTGAAAAATTGATTCATTTGAACTGTTGAGATCAATATGCTCATAAGAAAATAATTATATGTGAGGGCCTCATTTTGTAGCGAAACAAATGGTGAAACCAGTGATTTACTTATGATGGGCGAGATGATTCAGATCTCTATTTGCGGCTCTCTTTAGTATTATGTATCTATGGTAATCTGTGAAGAACACGTTGGTTAGTGGAAATAACAACCTAACTATATCGCATTTTTTTTCCTGAAAAGGTTACTACCACAATTTTCACATTTATAACGTTACTTTTTGTTTGTATTGAATTTTATGCAAAGCTACTTTAGGACTATCTGTGCTAGCCGTCCCTAATTTCGCAGAGATAGATAAGAGGAAATGCAGCTAGTCAACACCACCCACGTCTAACTCTTGGGCTACTCTTTTACCAACGAATAGTGGGGTTGGCCGTCACATTAAATGCCCCAATGGCTTAAAAAAAAGAGCATGTTCGGTGATGGGGATTCGAACCTGCGCCCGCATGTTGCGAGTCGAGCGCTCTAACCATACTTATTATTGAGACTGCAACTTCAGTTTTAATCATTATTATAATTATTATAAGTTCATTGTTAAGCAGATTATGCACACATTGCACATGATACATATAAAAAATATAAAAAAGAGATTGAAATAACCTTTAAAGCTCTTCTTGTTTGCTTGGGCGTGGCTTACTATTTATCTACCAAGCTATAGGTTGGATAGTCGAATGCTCGAATCCACCATATGCCGTTGAACACGCTCGGGAATTTCAGCTGTGGTCGAGTTATAAAAGTGACAGTGAATACCACTATTCGGTAGGAGTAGCAGTGTAAGCGTTGGGTACTGGTAATTGGTTACCCACCACCTGGTCAATAATCTTAAATTAGGGACCTGTTTGTTAGCTCATGTGTCACATGATTATGTAATGTTCAAGTTGAAAATAACAATCACAACATTACTGTTAAAAGATCGTTTATGGTTAGCTCAAAAGATATTATTATGGTTGAAATCTCTGTGGCAAACTTAATTTAATTTATTACAAGTAATTATTTTCAGTTTTTACATAGAAGTTAGATTCATTTATGAGTTTTTAGACTTATAGTTCATAAAATATAAATTACGCTAAGTATTGGTATAATAAAAATGATAATAGATCATAAATTGTACAATTATTTGGCAATCATTCAAAATTACATAACGCAATGGGGGCAAGAGGGTGTCTAAGCCTGTATTACGATGTGTTACAGGGGGGTCGGGGGGTCATGAACATTGTTACATGAAACATAAATTACAGTGAAAATGATTTAGGTCTACAAAAACATTTATTGTAATTTAACATACTTTGATTTCAATTCAAAACACCTTTACTAATGTGAACATTTGCAAACATGTGTCATCTTTTATATGTATATTTTTTGCTTTGCATAATAACTTGTTTGGTTGGATTTTACATGTACACTAAGGTGCGTAATTGACCACCAAGAAGAAATACTAGTAATGTTTATTGCAAAGTAAACATTTTACTTCTTAGAATTTTAAAGACAGTCATTCGTCTTAACTTTATATGAATGTCATATGAATGTGCCTTACCCATATATACATACATATATGCTAAATAACTAAATGGACTTTCCTTTAAAATGAGCACAAGGAAATAAATATGCTTAAAACATACAAAACAATTTTTACACTGTAGTTAGGATATAAATATTTGTAGCTGAATAAGCAAATAGCAGTAGACCATATGATTGCTTAAACATTCAAATCTTTGACTTTATCAAGGATCACTGATGCTGCCAGACAGACTGTCGCTCATTTGATGGAAGGATCTGGGTGCCAGGTTTCCTGGGCCTGGAACAAGGTTTTTCTTCGAGTTCACTCGTGTCAACATCATCTTCGTCATGACACATTTTCCAGTTATCGGGTGACGCAAACTACTTGCTGCTACTCGCCCCTTTTTATGATAGTTACACTGATTAATTTATAAATTAACCCCACTAGTGCACATTTTAATAAACTAAAAGTTTACGTTACCCTAACTCACACCCTGCTATCAGCTGTCTGTTGCTAAATTTTGCAGACTTTGGCATATGCGGTGAGCGATTTGATCGATGTACAGTAAGTATTGCAGTCACTGTGCTAGCAAAGCTTGATTCTACAAGGTGCTCTGTGTGCTTGGGCATGCAAAATCATATGGTAGTTTAGCAAACTTTCTCTGAGCACGTAATGGTAACACATCCCTGCCGATTGAGCTTATGCTCTGAATGAACCAAAGGGATGTAGATTTACCATCTGTGTTGTACCTTAAGCCGTCAGTTGTCTGACTGATCGGAATAGGGAGTGGTAGAAACCTGTTGTGGACAAGTGAAACGTATCTTTGTCGTGGATTGCCTCTACTCCTGTCACAACATTTCACAATCTGGAGCGTGTACTGACTCTCTCAACATTTCACAATCTGTAGCGTGTACTGACTCTCTCAACATTTCACAATCTGGAGTATGTACTGACTCTCTCAACATTTCACAATCTGTAGCGTGTACTGACTCTCTCAACATTTCACAATCTGTAGCGTGTACTGGCTCTCTCAACATTTCACAATCTGTAGCGTGTACTGACTCTCTCAACATTTCACAATCTGGAGTATGTACAGACTTTCTCAATATTTCACAATCTGTAGCGTGTACTGACTCTCTCAACATTTCACAATCTGTAGCGTGTACTGACTCTCTCAACTTTTCACAATCTGTAGCGTGTACTGACTCTCTCAACATTTCACAATCTGGAGTATGTACAGACTTT